GTCATCACGGCGTCATCGAGCGTCTCACCTGGCTCGCACGCGCCAGCCTACGCCGCACCTGGCAGCCCGACGAACGGCGGAACGACAAAGATCTCTGACCCCGCTCCAACACAGGTCAGCGTATCAGCAAGGCCGCGGTGGTTCAGCTTGGCCACACATAACAATATAACAAAGGTAATATGAGGAGGGTAATAACAGAATGGCCCACGAGGCCCCAGAGCCGACACTGACGACAGACAAAGAGCTGTAAGTTTGCAATATCACTGGTTGCACGACATTTCACCAATCAGCGGTATCATGGTCAAATTTAATTAGGTTCAGGACAATTTCAAGTACAGAATATGTACTTTTTATCGCAAGTGAGTAGTGACACATGTTTGCAGAATATTGCCAATGTGTTTGCCCAGTTTTGCCAAGACCATTCCGATCGCTATTGGCCATTTCTGGGCCGTGGGATGTATGGAAATCAAAGAGATGCAGGATTACTGTATCACCGGCCGGTGCGCCGCCGCAACTGAGCCTGCCCTGTCAGGACTGGCGTGTCTCGGTGAAACAGGCCCCCAGCCGGTCAAACGGTCACCTCGGAAGGGCATGTCCCTATGGTGGATTCCCTCATCGGTGTCCATCAGCACGCAGCAGGGAAGTATGATCGCGATGGGCTGATTACGAGAATGAGGACGGTTACGTACATTTTTTGCTGACACCGCGTTTTTGTTGTTTACTGGGGTTCACTCCTGCTCATCCCCTGATGTCATCTGCTCTGCGCCCGTGCTGACCCGCCCCAACCCCTGGCTACCGTCCGGCCGGCCTGACCCAGTGGCCGCGCGACCAGCTGGGCCGTCAGCTGACTGCTGCCGGCAGCCGGCGGCCAAGGTCACCGCCCTCCCCCTCCCCCCCCCTCCCTCCCTCCCCGGCGCCGTGGGTCGCTGACCAGCCCGCGCCGCCGCAGCGGACAGCCGGCCGGACGGCGGAGGCCCGGGAGCGCGTGGCGGCGGACCAAGGCCGGCGACCGGCGCGGCGGCGGCGGGAGGTGGGAGGTGGGAGCGGGCCCGGGGAGGGGAGGGGAGGGGGCGGGTGACGCAGCCTGGCCTCGGCAGCGAGGCCGGCCGGCCAGCCGTACCGCTGTGAGACTGGACGGACCGGCAGCAGCGGACGAGAGGGTAGCCCAACTCAGACAAACAGCGCCCAGAGACGCCGGTCTGCCGCCAGGGAACTAAGAGAGAGGTAGACGGAGGCAGGCGACACGAATGCATCTGCAGGAAGGGAAGTCACAACGATCGATCGAGTTTGTAGGAGCACCAATACTTACGGAAGGGAAATGGCGGCTGGATACGGTCAAAATAATGACAGGACAAGGCTAAATATCAATAGAATGAAACATGGCTAGCACCTCAGTTATAGCCAGCAAGTTCATCGTTCGCGATCTGTGTCCGGTGGAAGAAGCCCAGCGCAACAAAGCGGACCCGGCAGTGGCCGCACCCGTCCGACGCCGGCCGCAGGACGGAGACGGACCGGTCTCGCGGACCATCCGGTTCCGCTGGTCGGTTCGCCGCTGCCGGCCGCGCACTTTCTCTGATAACCGAGCACGGTGGCACTGGCCATCCCTTCCCCTGTGTGCGAGATCGCCGTAGGAGCAGAATTCATCCGCCAACCTTCGGGAACGGAGACAGAACAGGCCCAGCCTCTGCCCCAAAGTACCCGCAGCGGCGGAATCCCCAGGCGACCGCCACCCGTCTCGAGCTCAAGGCCATCTATAGAAGGTACAGTCACTCCCCCGCCGACCAATCAGAGACAGATCCTGAGTGACGTCACCCCTGATGCTCGAAAGGGGTACTCCATTCCTTTACAACGTAAAAATGACTAACTTCATTTGACGATTGTTGGTGACACTTTACACATATCGCTCAACCATTGATGTCACTGGAAAGTACAACTTATTTTCTAGCGATAAAAAAGAGCAGCAATATGCTAAGAAATGGCCAGTTTTGAAGATATAGACGATTTAAAAACCCTCTGCAGTTGCAGGAAAGCAGCGTAGAAACGCATCGAGCTTATATTTTTACTATGAATAAATCATTTTTCAGTAAGTTTTTAGATATGGTATCGATTTATTCAACAACTTTATTACAATATTTTTATTACTTGGAACTTTATTTCAAAATAATATTTTCAAAAATGGCAACTGTTGGCAAGTAGCTTTGAAGCGATTGTGGCGCGCCGCGCCATTATTGTCCTGAGGCCCCCATATGATGTCATCAAAAGTGGAGTGACATGGGCCTGCTCGAGCTCGGCCCGCCGGCTCCGACTCTGCAGAGTCCGCGGCGCCGGCCATCTCCCACTGCTGCCGTCGAGTGGCGGGGGACAGGCGGCGGATCGTTTCCGCCATCGATCGCGGCGCCGAGGGCTGCGTTGCGGCGCAATCGATCCCGAGCAGCTGGGACGATGCAGAGCCGACACGAGGAGGGCCGCAGTGGCTGCAACACCGGCGCCGCTGCACTGCGTGCCGTGCCGCCACCGTTTGTAGCGGCAGACGGGCGGGACATGGGGGATTCGATAAGGATGACTTAGGTAGGATCGGGCCTGGTCGGCGTCACAGGGTGCCAGGATAGTGGGGCAGGGCAGGAGTTGATTGAGTGTAAATAACGAGACGGCAACTGCGATCCCGAATAGTATGTACGAGCAAGTGAAGGATTCTCGCCTCAAAATAGAACACTCAGTTGAATGCCTCTATGGTTGAATCATGGCATACTAAGCGTGTACAAAAATGCCAATGAACATCCGATATACGTCGCTTGGTACACAGCTGTTAGTATATAATCATGGTATGAGAATAGAAAAACGAGACACAGGGCATCAGCGACAAACGGTAATATCAGTTTGCATCGTTGTTGGCTACTAAGCACTGCTGCTGATTTGGCCCATAGTAAACCCCACCCTGGTATTGATTGTATGGGTATGGTTCTTTGTAATAAACGCCGCTTCGGTCGTTTTTTTAGAACTCCTTGCTCACACAGTCACACATTTCGCTAACACTTTCGCCCCGTCCCCCATTCGGTAAATGATTTGTAAAATGGGCATGAACAACAAATGCACTGTGGTCGGCGTCATTTCACAGGTCGTTTCGCTCCCATTAATACCCATAATGAAGACAATTATCCAAAGACAAAGCAGTACGGCGCAAATATGCATTGCAAAGAGCACTGTTCAGCAAATGCTGCTATTGCGAGAACGACGGAATCATCTGCTATATCCTAGAACACAAGGCTTCAACATATTATGCAGCTCAAAAATAGCCTTCAGGTAACTTCAGAGCGAAACTGCATGAATATTGCATACAATTCCTTCTTAGATTAACAGCATTAACCCAGATTTTTTTCAGATGAAAAGGATGGCAAACTACAGAACATCAAAGACCCTGTGAATAATCTACGAAAATGTTCACTTGATATCAAAGGTCAAAACCTTGGAATATAAATAGTGACGCAAAAGTTTCCGTCCCTAGTCGGTATCAAGTGAATGAGACCTTGTTCGCTGCGAGTGTGGCCATCACGAGCACATAAAACTTGCATGGCCTTATCTAGCAGAGCACACTAGGATTCAAAACTGGCAATACTAAATGCGTAAGCAGTCTGACAATACTCAATGTGCTGCCCAGTATCCAGTTGACCAAGTAGTGGGCTATTCGGGGAATGTCCGATTTGTCTACTCAATGGAAAATTGTCACCGATAATTTAAAAAAAAAATGGGAAAGTAGGAGATCGGCGGGTTCATACAATCACAAGCATATAAGTGATACAAGTGCGAATTGCAGCTTGTAGCTCCCAATGACAATTTTGCATGCTTCGCTGATAAATAGATCTCATGCGGCCAAAGCTGATCCAAGTAGACTGAATCGATGCCATTCAGCCTGTACCGAGTTTTGTGACCTTAAATGAGCCCCTGAGACCAAAAATGTCTCATCACATTACAGGGACAGCCAGGCCAGTTTCGCCGATCAATGCCCCACATATTCAGCTTAACCCAAGCAAGACGGGCCACGACTTTTCAAATCCACCATAAGAATGGAAGGTGCCACGTGTCCAGCGAAAGTTCATGATTCACTCAAGCAATGTAAGAGGAATAAGGAGTCTTTGGCTATCATTCACTCCTCCTGGCAAGAGGAGCCAGTAGCCACCAATCCAAAGCACTGCAGAAAGCCTGACAAACAAAAAGCCTTCCCACGCTCGCTGGTCCGCTTCAACAGTACGCGAATCAACTGACAACAGGCCATCCTATCAACCAGTCCCGAAGCGTCAATTCCCGAACCCCCGAACAACCCCCACAGTCTATCACCATCGCATCCCGTCCGCACCCCAGCAGGCAGCCGCCCACCTGACTGGCTCGGTTACGTCACGGTGCAGGGGGCAATGACACCGCCACGTGGGGGGGGGGGGGGGCGTTCAACCACCGACCGGCCCGCAGGGAACCAAGCGCGGCTGACTACGGCAACGGACACGATAGAGGCGACGCTAGGCCAGACTAGACTGACTCGCTCGTCAGTCGTCACTTTCGCAAATAGTTGTGGGATTTAATACACTGGTTTCTGAATTCTGGATCGAAGTGGCTATCGGAGAACCCTCCAGCCATGAAATGCAATGTGTGCATGGCGGCGGGGCTTAGTCGGCGTTCCGCGCGGCGGACATCTTGGAGTGGCGTGTTTGTGAAAAAGTACGCAGGCCTCGGAACGGTCGATACAAAAGTCAAGGATGTGATGTATCTGACAACTGTTTATCAATCTGTCATCAGCCTGTGGAGGTGGACACTACGGGCGGACTGCGGAGCCTAACATACTGTGTATGCGGACCGACATGGTTCACGTACGATAAGTCCTGCTTGAGAACCGCAGCTGGAATGGATTCCTTGCAAAAAAAAGTCGAAATCGAAGGCAACGATGACAAGCAGAAAACGAAGGCACGTGATGGGATTCGAACCGGGGACCTCTGGCTCGGAGCGTTACTCACGTGGTTGTCTGCGCCGGTCGTTGTGGAGAGGGTATGCAGGGCGTTTGTGATGGCGTGGTCATCCGTGTCGGCAAACCACACAGGCGGTGTTCGCGAATAGGTTTCCTGCGGGCGGGAGTAACACCTGTCACCGGCGAGCACACCTAGCGAAAACACACGGCATATGAAAGCAGTGGCATTTGAAGACCCAGGTGGTAAGTGGAAACACCGATTAGGTAGCATAATGGGATGCTAGCATGAGAAGCTGTCGATCGCTGCTCCCCAAATGCGTCTGAATAAAATTGCATGCCTTGTGACGCACTATGCAGAGCCAATCAACCCACGGAGACCTCGCTAAAATGCTTCCACTACGGTCGTGTTCCGCAGCTTAAAAAAAAAAAAAAATACATCGGTGGGATTCGAACCCGCGTCCGTGCGGGTGTCACCGTGCGGCCGTGGCCGTGAGGTCCGTTCATTACGCGGCGCCATGGCTCGCCAGGAAGGCCACAGGCCGGCCGGCACACGGAAAACGCTTGCATCGGACGGGCCCGGCGCGGGACGGACGTAGCCGCCGCCAAATGGCGTAACCGCGCACCGCGGCGGCGCGGCCGGCCAGCGGTTCACGAGCCGACTTGACCGGGCCCTCCTCCGCCGGCCGGACGGGTTTCCGCTCCGGTGTGGTCTCCCAGCCGGCCCCGAGGGACGGCGAGCGGTTTGCCAGAACAGGTGGACAACGGTCCCGGCTTGGTAACCTTTAGGGAATGCGACTTTATGGGCCTTTGTTTGAACTCTTACTCCAGATTCCTGGCAGGTCGGCCGTCGGAGTCCTTGCAACTAGGATGTCAGTCAAATGATCGTGAAAGGAAAGGGTGAAGAAAGGAGGGAGAAGAACAGGGAGAGAGGAGAGAAGAAAGAGGAGAGGTGAGAAAAGGGAAGGAAGTTCCCACATTGATGGAAAATGACTTAATGTTACTCTTATCCAGGATAGCAATCACAGGTCTCAAAATGGTATTTTGCGTTGAGTGTCAGATCCTCCAGAATCAGAAATAGAATCCTCACCAAAAAAGAGGGATGAGAATGGAAAAATGTTGGCCAGAGAAGGCCCAAAAAGAGCGGACAAAGGAACAAAAAAAACCACTTATTTCTAAATAAGTGTGGTAGCATGTGGGATGTTTAACGACCATATTCTGTGCAAATGTTTTTTTTTTTATAAATGAGAGTGGAAAATAATCCCAAAAATAAGTGGTAAGAGTGAAAAATGATGTTCATTTGGAGTTTGGATGTCATTTCCCATCCAAATCCACACATTTTGGGACACTGCTTGGCAAGATTACTTTTGCTTGGGACATTGATAATGGAAAACAGAGGTCAGAGCCTCAGCAATCAGCATGTCAGTGTTTGCAGGCACTTTACAGAATTGCAAAAAAGAACCCCCTTTGAATACTATTTCAATTCATTTCAGCCAGAACTGGTGGTGATATTGTGATGTGATAGGTTAACAACCTTGGTTTTCATGTGCAATAATGATTCACATAAGTATGATGGTAAAGCATACAGTATAAGGTTACATATAAGCCAATGAACATATTGCGATCAGGGTTGCGGAGTCTATGAATTTTTGACGACTCCGACTCCAGCTTCCAGATATAGACTCAGATTCCTACTCCACAGCCCTGGCAGGTCTACAGAGTCGATGGATTTTCCGTGACTCTGACCCTGGTTTCCAAAATCGATTCTGACCACTCTCCGACTTGACGACTCCCACCGACCTCCACTCTAGACTCGGCAGAACTGCTGCTGAATTTAAAAAAAAAACCTATCAAGTGCCAAGAAACTTGAGTCACAAATGTCACATAGACACAATTCCTAATTATCTCACAAAGATGGCAAACCACGCTTTTAAGTGACAAAGTTATACCAAAATGGTATTCAAGCATCACAGAATGAACCAAAGCCAGTCCAAAACCAACAAAAAAAATATATTGGAAAAAAAATTGTGTGAATATAATTCTTAATTCAGAAAGTTTGTGCATTTTTGTGCTAGTCATACATATTTGTGTGTTTTCTGTACACACTCGTTTTTATTATTTCTTATGTTTTTATTTACATTGTGACTTTGCCTTTTAGTGGGATGTCATCCCGTTGGCAATGGTGTTAATAAATAAATAAATAAAAAGTTTACCTACTGAACCCTAGCCACACAATGCCAAATGCTAAAAAGTATTTCTTCTCAATTATCAAAAAAAAAAACATAGAAAGGTAGGAAATTCTTTATTTTTTATGTTTTCCATGTTAAATAAAAAAGAATATAAAGGTAAAAGATTACATGTACTCCATGATAAAGCAATGGTAATGGTTAAGTGTGCATAACTAATTACTAAAAGTGGATTGTGTTTCATACCAGTCACCCCCCTATTTCCCATGCCTATTTTGCTAAGGTGATGGCACCAACTTCTACACACTACCTCTATGTAGGTACACAATATGAAAACTATTCTGTTGGAATACTGATGTATGAAAACTAGTTATTCAGTCTCTACTTCAATTAGACAAATGAGAATCCATATACACTTGTGTAAGGTGTATTGTATGGCATAACTGTGCCACAATTAAGACAAACTAATTCTCCATAAAGTGTCCTTATAGTTGGAATAGACACTTCAGCTGGAGTTCCAGTTATCAAGAAAAGAAAACACAGTCCCTGGACACTGAAGTGAAGAAACAAAAGCAATGGATTGCAGAACACAATACAGGTAAAAATCCTGCCATTTATGCAGGCTATTCAGTATTCACTACAGCCACACTGTCCCTCATAGGTGAACAGTCCTTGTGCCTCATTTGAGAGCTGGCAACTGACCATGTGGTGTGCTTTGGTGGGAACCAGGTGTGCAATAGGTTTGATAGCAAGGACCAACCATCACTATACATTCAGCAGAGGGACCATTGTTGACTGTGTACTATAGATCAATGGTCAAGTTGAATGGACATCATGAGTGGCAGTACCAACCCAGCAAATTCTTCCCATAATCAATAAAGAACTTTGAAAACTCTGCCCAGTATGCAAATGCACTTGTCTAAATAACTATGCAAATGAAAAACAAGGAGGGAAAAGCAGCTTCCTAAATATCAGTACAAATAACTGATATTTTTTAGTTCCACTTATTACAAGTCAAAATAAGAACACAAATGCCTTCAAAAACAGATATGACAAATGTCAGGTAGGTAGGTACTACTGAGAAGAGGCAGCATTCCATGAGCAGCCTGCTCCCTATGCCTCTTTCCTTTCTACTTTGGTAAGCATCTACTTTGGTAATTTGCCATCTATCCAACCTCAAATTTCCAATTTTCCTTATCAAACTTCAACAATGATAAGTGAAACCAGTACCAAATACAATAGTTAGTTGCAACAGCAACAAAGCATCACACCTAGAGGGTAGGTAAATTTTCAGTCACCAAATGATGCTATAAAACAGGGTAGGTTTTATTACACTGAAGCACTAGACACAAACACAGGCACATTACAGTCAGGCTTATGATTAAGACTGTGCTGAAATAACTGGGCCAGCTCTTACAACAGCTTCCGCATTTGATATGATTACTGCCTATCAGTTCTTTAGACTTTTAAACATACAAAATAGTCAATGATCATTGCTTGGAATAACAGCAAAATAAATATGTTTTGTCAATCTGCTCTTTTTGAGGATAATGTTTGTGGCTCACATGATAACTCTACCATCACACTGACAGAGATATTATGTTGGAAATGATGTGCTGCCATTTAACAGTGTTCCATTTTTCAGACTTTTTGGTGGCAAATCACACCTAATGAATGGGGAAAATATTTTCATCCCTAAAATATGAATGACCGACTTAACTCCATCTCTGAAAAGAGTATCATGTATTCCCAACAGCCAGTGCACATGTCACTTGACAGTTGATGCACCCACATCCTTTTGTTCCACACCCTGTCAAGATCCTGACATGAAATCCTTGCTTATCAGTTGGCATAAAAATTGGCATTACACCATTTTGCAAAAATACTTCAGTTATTTACTTTCTTTTTTCTCATCCTATGATATTTTTTTTTCTTTATCAAATATCAGCACACCCAACCAATATCCAATTTTAGAACACTGTGCCATTACAGGTCTGACTGGCCAGCACTAAGAAGTCCAGGTTAAGATTAGATAAAGCAGAGCAAGGTAGTCCTGTTTTGTTACCTCAATATCGAAACATCATATCAACTCAAAATATTAGGCCATCACACAATCCTATGTAAAGCCATTCAGAATAAGTCAAAGCATGCATAATTTCATTACAATAGATCACGATATGAATTGACTGGAAGTATAAAAAGCATATTTATTTGGGTGACGTAAGCGAAAACTAAAAATATAGGCTACTTTAAATAAACCACACATATATGATCAGGCATAACAATGGGAAAATCAATTTCAGTTCAGTGAGTTGGATGACCTTGAAGCGGGGCATATCATGCACTGTTGAAAAGGTAGTAAAATGAAACTAGCACCGATTTACAAATGCCAAAAAGAATAAGAGAAGTTGAAAATGTTGATATCAATGAAGGATAACCAGTGAAAAAAGATATACCTCTCAGCAAAGGAGCGAAAGCTGAGACAAAGAACTTTTCCACACCAGTGAGGCAGGGAAAACTGTGAAGAGGACGATCATCAAAAGCAATACTTACTGTGATATGAGCATGAATATCATGTTTTTTGCCATGCCGTCCTATCACACGACACGTAAGTTCATCTACACTGGCACTTAGCACTTGAAACCGCTCGTGAGTTTTCGGAAACACATGTTCGAGGGTCTTGATTTCCGCCTTCAATGTGAGTAGACAGGCCATTCCTAGTCTCTCCTCAGGCCTGTGGTGAAAAATGTGAAAGGGCCAGGCAAAAATAAATTGACCTTTCACCTATTCACCACAAACCGCCGCAAAATTACGGCCACACCAACACCACCACCACGGGGGAGATCGCCGTCCCCGACACGCACAAAGTTCTAAAGCCAGCTATCGCCGCTATCGCCCAAGGCCTTTCTGCTCGAACTGTTACAATTGCGGCGCACTGCGCAGGAATTGTACCAAATAAACTAAACTTTCGCCATAGTCCTACTAGAGTCTACGAAAATTCTTACAGATATCAAACAGTTTGATGTATGTAAGGTGTTAAGATACATTTTTCAATGCTAATGAAATACTTTTAATCAGAAATAAGAACATTTCTGTCAAAAATAATAGGTCAAGCTGCCAAGCAATGCTAAAATTGGTAGAGCTTTTAGTATAGTTTAGCTGGAACGTACTACGGTAAATATTAATCATTTGTCTGACACAAACTCAGGAAATCAAAGTTTATTTTCGATGCCTTATCTTATTTACCTACATGATACGACTGCTTATTGTTGCTTGAAATGAATCGAAAGCTACTTCGCCATTTATTAACACTTCATACTGACGTCACATTCATCACAAATTCAATAAAGGTATTTGCTATCGGGCACTCATTCCCCAAGCTTATAACCTGACACATAGATGGCAGGAGTAGTAAGCGCCTGAAGTTATGCTGTGCCGCGGTACAAGTAGGTTCGATCGATGGGGTTTGATGACATTAATCGGCATTCGGCACTGACGAGCGTGTAGCCGTGGCATGTGCGCAGAAACGGCTGGAATATTATAGGTGTATATCCACTCTTAACCAGTTCAAGGCCAGACTGGACGATCACTGGAACCGAATCAGATACTCCATCCTAGATTAGTTATATCCACGAGAGTCCTCAGTTCAGGAGCTCGATGCGATCGGGACCCTACAGGCCATAGTGGCCATCAAAATTCCCGTATTGGTAAGGTAAGGTAAAGTAAGGACGGTAAGGTATATGCAGAAGTCCAATCAATGCCAGCGGAGAGGCTAGAGGGGATCTGGGGAGGGGGCACTGGGGTGGGGCAGAACCGTGTAAAACGCCCCAGGTAGGTAAAACGCCCCATGCCCTTATTTATGACACAGTTGTTTCCTTCTTTTTATAAACATTACAGGTGAAACAGGTGCTGTGGAAGAAAAATGCTGATGAAGTTTGGTGGGCACCATTATCACTGGGCTGATTTTATAGCCTAAAATATGATTTTATGAGATTTCTGAAGTAAATAACTGTCATAAAAAGCGACACTAATTCACTGTTTAGGTGTCACTTTGATCTGAGATGCTTCGGTAAGTAAGACTAGTTCATTGTCTACCTTACTTACTTACTGGTCGAGCGGCAGCGTCGTTAGCCGGCGGAGGCCCAATAGTTGGCCCCAAGCAGCCTCTGCTCCTCCTAGCTGGAACACCCTGGTCAGCGCCGCTCGGGAGAGAGTACCAGTGGCCAGCTGGCACATCGTGTGGGCAGCGCGGCCACGGGAGGTGGATTTCGCCACCCAACCCCGCTGCAGGCCTCTCTCGCTCATCCTCCTCTCCTCCCACGACCCGTCGTCGCGGCTGCTCAGCTGTCGATCCCGTATGATGAGTTGGATGTCCTGCGTCCCGAGCTCCAGGTAGTCGGAAGCAGAACCGCTGCCAGCCAGGTGATCGGCTCTGTCGTTCAGTTGGACTCCGGCGTGCCCTGGGCAGTATACCCATACGACTTGTTGAGGTAGGTCGTGCCACTCCGGAGGAGCCGATCCGCTCTCTAGTTTGCGCAGGAGAGACTGAGAATCGGTGCAGATGATGCACGCGGCTAGATCAGGGTGGGCGCTTCTGGCAAGATCCAGACCGCGGAAGATGGCCTCCAGCTCAGCCCTCATGCTAGAGAGGCGAAGGTTACAGCCTCCACGGTGGGTCTGAAGGCTGCCGTCTGACTCCCTCATCACACACCCCCATCCCGATCTTGGGGCGCTTGTGGTGACAGAACCGTCAGTGGCAAGGACGACGAGGGGCTGTGGGAGCTCACTGCTGGTGTCGGCCAGGACCTCCTCAAACATGGCGTTCACTACGTGTGGTGGTAGCTCACGGTCGGTGCGGCTGAAGAGGTCGATCTTGAAGGTCCATCGGCATCTGGTGGCGGGAGGCGTCGCAGACCACAGGTGAGATCTGCGGATCTTGTGCCGACCGCAGAGACCGTGCAGAGCTTTGGTCCCATCGCGCAGCCAGCCCGTGCGCTGCAGACGTGCCAGTGGAGCGCGTGCCAGGGCTTGGTCGACGAAGCCGTGCAAGGGATGGCCGCAGTCGGAGGCGACGATGCACACCGCTCTGGCTCGTAGGACTTCGTGTAGGTCGACGATGGAGGGCAGGTCAAACATGTACCTTAGCGCAGTGACCGGCGTCTGTCTGGGGCACCCGGTGGCGAGTCGGAGAGCGCTGTTCTGGATCCGCTCGAGCTTGTCCATCGTTGTCTTCAGCGGATTGATGATCTCGAGTCCGTACAGAGGCGGATCCAGCTCAGAGGTTTGGGGGGGGGCAAACCATAAAAATTTATCGATTCTTTCCATGCATCGTCCATAGGCGTAATGTTAAAATCATGCCGTTTGGGGGGGGGGGGGCAAATGCCCATTTTGCCCCCCCCCCCTGGATCCGCCACTGAGTCCGTAGGTGATTCGAGAGAGGACAAGCGAGCGATAGAGATGACTGATCCGTCTCAAGTCAACTCCCCTGCTGTAGGCCGCTTTCAGCGTTGACAGAGCGCGAACGCATCTGCTGCGCACTGAGTCGGCGTGGGCGTTAAAGGTGAGAGCCTGGTCCAGCGTCACGCCCAGCAGCTTTACTTGATCAGAGTAGGAGATGGGTTCACCCCCGTAGACCACCGCTTCCAACGGTTGGGTGGGGCGGCGCTTCCCAATATCCCAAAGACAGTGACGGATGCCTTCTGAGGGTTGATGACCATGTCGAGATGGTCGCATGCGGCCTTCACATTGTTGACCACCTCCTGAGCCAAAAGCAGTGCGAAATGACTGTTCCATGCTTGTTGATTTATCGGATATGTCTCCACACAGAGGCATTGCAAAATTCGCTAAACGCCCCGGCACCTAGTTTCTCAAGCGCCTATACCATTTTTACGTGTAAAAATGTCTTACATTCCAAAAGTGGCTTAATTGTGATGCATTATTGCTGTGCACACAGCCGCTATCCGGGTTCAGAAGTGGCCAATACCCTAATTTTCGACAAATTTTAAAGCGTGATTTTCTCACATTTTCTGGTCGTAAATTGATCAGACTGTATAAAATATCATCCAGAAAAAATATTACTCATTCTGGCACAGATTGGTGGGCTTCCAAAGTACACCGTTTTGTTTTGCTCCGTGAGACCGAACTTGTGCTGCGATTTTCATGTAAATGTTGACGAGTCTCCTGTCATATTCTTTGCTTGAAAATGCTTAAATAAGATATCAGCTGAAAGGGGAAAATGTGCGGAATCCATTGGTAACAAAAGTGCATCTAAAAAACTTCCCACTCAGTTATTGTAAGCCAATTGTTGCACACTTGCACAAAGCAGAAGGGCTTGAGGATTTCAATATTTACATAGGCCTACCAAAAAACGCACAGCGTGCTTCACATCGAGACAACGTCCATCACATATACCGTACAATTGTGATTCATTTGCTGAAAAAATTAGGTCGGCATCACACTGCCGGCAAAAGTTATCACAGTTCTAGTGACGCTAGGTCGCCGCCCGGCAGACCCCGGCCAGGTCGGCCGGGCGGCGGCCGCGCAGTTCGGCAGCTGACCATTGACCAATCAGCTGCGAGAGAGGAGCGCGGTCCGTCTAATCGCCCCCGGCAGTTGCTTGTGCTGAGGGGTGCTCGACGCTCGTGTCGATTGCATTTGTTGGTTGTCGATTGTCGATTGACTTGTGGATATACCTACTTTCTGGTGACCAATAATGTACGTCGTCTTAACTGAATGTAGTCTGATCAAATTCAATAAAGCAAAAAGACATCCAGCCAACAGAACATCGTAAGAATGTCCGATATGGTTAATAACATTCAGAGTTTTGGGGAGCAGCCATCGACCAGAATGAACCTTATTGGCTTTTGTATGTAACATTTGCATTGCTTTTGGAAAGTTTCAGTCAGATATCTTCAGAAATGGCAACGTTATCGGCTTTTGCATTTTACCGTAGCCGGTTAATCACAATTTTCGATAATGCCAAGGCAATTTCAGTACGTTCTTGACATCGAAAACCAAAACGAATAGCATCATCGTGTTCCAAAGCGCAAATTGCATCTGATGCACATCTTTTTCGTTGAGAATGCTCAACTTCAAAATTTGACCTTTTTGACCTCGCCGTGACCTTCATTTGTCGAAAGGAAATAGTTTCGAATCGGACGACCCAGATGACATCATTTTTAGATGCTTTTGCCGAAATGGACCATTAATGATATGTCGCATGACCTTAAAAATGTATACATTTCCTTCCATGACCTTTTGTGACCCATGATCTTTCCATGACCTTTTGTGACAAAGTTAGGTTTCGTTTGTTAGCTATTCCTATCAGAAGCCGTTTAAATTTTTAGTATTGAACGAGTAGTTTCGAAGACAGCAGGGAAGCTATGCAGAATCCCCTTCCGAGTCACCCACGTTATGGGATATACACGTCATCCGCGGATTACAAGCAAAAAATATTTTTTGCGGCAATGATGTATCAGCATGGATGCTCATACGTTCCCATATGTGACCTTACGGTTGACTTCACATACAATAAAAATTCCTTGGCAAAATTTCAACTGGTTAACGAGTTATCGCATTTTGGCCACTTCCGAACTCAAATAGCGGCTGTGTGCTGTGGGGTAAAGAGGTGACAATGACATATGTCATATTCTCACCAGCAATTTGCCGGATAAGCTACTCACTACTCACTTCAGGTCTCTTGGCTATCGAATGATGTGCTTTGAATCGCAACTATTCCTAGCTGCTGTGCATTTTTTCAGCCTGTTCCGCAAATGACCTAAGGTCATTGCGCGACATATGTAAATATGATAGTGACCAAGTAGGTATACAGCGTCAGTTCAAGACGAAACGTTTGGTGCCATCCTCCTGTGCAAATTTGGGAGCCGTGACATTTACTGGCCTCTTTGGGTCAAAGGGC